ATAATTGAATTTTGTTAAACTTATTCAAATCATGCGAAATAGATTTCATGTCACAGATGAAAACGATTTTAGAAACTTCGACAAACCACCTACAAATTAGGTTTCTTCGATCCCAAAAATGTTCAGTCAAGTTTTATAAAAAAATTTATTTATTTTCTTGAGTTATTTCTCCTCTGATCACTAAATCGAACTCGTTATTTTCTCTAAATTTTTTTAATGATTTGATTGAAAAAATCGATTTGAATATAATATTAGTCTCATCTCTATCTATGACCATAATTTCTATCTAATATTTCCAAAACACTATTAGTCTCATAATACCTTTTCATCATCGTCAAGCATAATTTATTTATTGACATTGAAATTAATGTTAATTTATCAGGTTAAGAGCATGCAAAAATATACCAATTAAGCAAAAAAATATAATCAAGATTCATTTATATATGTAAAACAAGCTTCACCAGTTATAGAACAATTGATCTATACTATGCAGGCCCATTAAGAGGTAAATATGTCAAAAGACAAGGTTACAAAATTTTGTCTACAAACGCTACTGACAATTATAGTAGTATTCAATTATATCCAGATGATGCAATTACATGTACGTTGAATTTTGATTTTAAGCACACAATTACAGCGCATAATCGTAGAACAAAAACCCAAATGCTCATTCATCGTCGTACTCGCAACAACACATTCAATAAATTGCGACAGTCTATCAAACCAGTATATTAATTGTAACATTTATGATTACTTACTAAACATGTGATCTAAAAAAATTATCTTGTAGATTGACAATCTGACGATGATGTATAAAAATAGTGAAGACCACTGATGGCGCAGAATAAATTGTGCTGTTAGTATATTTTAATATTTCTTCTCTATTATTCATTTAATTGAAAATTTTCTTTAACAAACGATAGCGTTTGAAAGTCTTCACAAAGTGGTATATTTTGTTTAACGAAAATAATTTCCGCAATATTTTTTTGTATCAAACATAATCGCACAATAAATTCAAATACAGAATACGAGTTTTTTTCTTTTTCGATTTTTTTTTAACAGAACGTTTTATTTCGTCTATGAATGTAGCTTTTGTTGTTATGAGATTCCAATTCATAATTTCAATCAGTTCATTTCATAAAGTATAGTCTAACTGATTTAAATCATACAGATTCATTGATTAATGATTCTTTGGTACGAATGCATGAAAATGGTCTGTACACCATTTCCTAGTAAGGTAGTACGTGTGAACCCTGAAAAAATCCCGCTAACCTTCAGTTTTCAAAAGTAGCCTACTCTCTTCGTGTGTAGATCAGTCAAGGTTGACTCTTCGACATCCTATTACAGGAAATAGCCAATATCTTCATTGGATAGTAGCAGCACGAACTGTACATGGACAGTGAGAGAAAGACGATAACGTGCTAGAGCATGTGCTGTTGATCATTTTTATTCACATTCTTTTTGTTAATAATAAAACTACTGCGCCCAAATTACGATAAATTTTTGTCGATCCATCACCATTTTCATATTTATTTTTTACAGCTGTTTTGCATGCTTTTACTTTTTATCTTTTTTCATATATATATATATATATATATATAACGACTTTTGAATCCGATCATATATGGTTATACAGAGAATTTTAAGTGTCATCTTTTGATATAAGATGATATTTCGATCAACTTGAGAATGAAGAAGAACTAGTCAAAATACAAAATAGTCTAATTTATTTTGCGTCTCCTTTTATATTCAGTTGAAAAACATACACACAATTACTCAAAATATAATTTTAGACGAAGGATGGAAGTTGAGTCAAGCCATCTATTTTCAGAGTTTCACTTGAAACATTTGGTATGTATTGTTAACCGTCTACCCTGTATTGTATCATATTTCGATCATCGTACATATGTACAAACTTGTGAGTAATTGTTTTAGAACAAATAAAGTTGTAGAATATTAAATTTGCTCATGGCAATGGGCTTGATTGCATATTGTATACTTCCTCTAGATGTGACTACAAAAACATATGTGTATCTGTAGTATTCATTATAGAAAGATATTTGTATATCAACTGCACTATCCAATGGTAATCAATAGACATTTAAAGAATACTTTCTTTAACTTTGTCGTCTCACAAGGAACGCCCCAATGATACTAAGAATGTGAATGTTGCATAAAAAGCAAATATCTTCTTGTATTGTTTTAGTAGAAAACTCTTAGTGCTACCGTGATGTCGTACTTGTACACATTCACTAGTTGGATATCGTTTTTCATTTTTTTCTCATATCTATATCTTGTCCTTCTTTTCTTTCTGTTATCTAACTATATGCAGTACATATATTAACGTTTAGTTCATTTGTTACTATTTATTTCTTGTGAAGTAAAGATTGTGTGCAACTACAACATCAAGGAACATATGTATACGCATATATACATCTATGTCTAAGCACAAAAAGGAAAGAAAAGGAACGCTAATACCTAGTGATTTAGTTGACGATGTTGTGCCATCACCATCAAAACTTCACTAAACTGCTCATATGTCCAAAAAGAAGTAAATAACATGAATTTTCATATTCATCTAAACAAGTTTTTATCGATACATCAATTATTGCCGAATGATCGTGGTTATTTTGAGGCTCATTGTTTTCATGTTAGCTAGTAGCTGAGTAATATCGACGAAAGTGATTTTGTTAGAATGAACATCGTTATCGGAATGGTTAGTTGCGTTGATAATTTGAGCGCCTTTATTAATTTTGGTGTAGACCTAATGATGCTTACAATGACTCAGATCTGATGAAGATGTATTCTAAAAGGCTACTTAAAAACGTGTCATTTTTGTGAAACATCCACTGTCTTAGATAAAAATGACGTTTTTTCTCTGATGAGATGAATATATTAATAAAAAAATTTGTATTTATTTTGGTTCATTTGCTTAACATAGCAATATATAATTGTATGAAAAACACAATAAAGAACCAGTGTCTTCAAACGACGAAAAGCGAAGTTAAACGTGAACATTAAGAGAATTTTAGTCGGTTCCATATTAACTAACAGCATTAATAATTTACAATGCACCACAGCTGAGCTTAACAAAAACAGTTTCAGTACATCCCTTTTAATTATTTATACTTTGTCTGTTTTCTTTAAAACAGATCGTATTTTCAAATAGAAAGTCAACACATGAAAGTAAGTCTATTGGTCTTGGTCGAAAATGTGAGTTACCAAAGGATCATTTTCTTAATGGTTCAGTTGTGCAACAAACACGTTATAAACATTTTTCTTCATCAAGTATGTTAGAAAAATAATGCTCAATATTCTATATGTAAATCTATTTCAACAAGTAAAAACTATTATTCTTGTGCACTGTTGAAAGAACAACATTGAATAAGCTGGGACTTTATTGTGGCCATTAATTATGATTCCTCATAAGGATGTAATATGATAAGTCATACAGTTCGTGTTATACGACGAAACTCTTTCACATTCACGAAAAAAAGTTCAGCCTAATCCATTTATACTCTGAAAATAATTAACAGATTCATCCGATACGGTAACAATTCATATCGATGATATTATTGTAAAACTTGCTTATAGCCAACAAGAAATATTTCATTCTTTTTAAATTTCCAAACATGGTAGAGAGAGTACTTAAATAAAAACTGTTTCATATATTTTTTTGCAAAAATATATCTTGTCTTTATTGTTAGAAACCTCAGCATCAGTTTCTTTCTATGTTTGTTTCTTTTCCGAATAAATATTTACTTATTACACCTTCTTCTTTTTCGTTCTTTAGATAAAATCAGTCTTTGAGGTTTTCGTATCATATATTCATTTGTATTCTAAACGCGTTAGCAAAAATATTTATATTACACGCACAAGACATCGACGTTTCAATAGTTTCAACACATAGTTAAAAAAGCATCTAGAAATCCCGGAAAGCTTAACATTTGACGCGTTTAAACGAATACAAATAGATGACTGACAAAAGAAATGTGAACACTATAACGGGGAGTAAAAGGGGTTTGTTGTGAACAAAGCAGTTTTTTCCACTCACAATTAAACGACAAGAATCTATGGACATGGTGAATATATAATAAAATTTTGAACGAAAACGAAACTGAAAATTTCGGTCTTAAGGGCATTTTCTATCGCCGAGCTTTGGTGTTATCATACCATAGTTTTTAGAGCGAAATACAGAAAGATTTAAATGCTCCAAAATAGATTGTTTTGATGATTTACATGCGTTTCTGAAAAACCTTGTCTGCTTCGGTAACTTGATCTTTTATTAGAAGTTCTTCTGCTCTAGCTTCAATTACCGCACATGTCACATTTGTTGCAAGTCAAATCACATGTTCTGTACTATGTTCGTAGGAAAGAGAAGACAATCATGTGGTTCTGGCAGTGCTGCAGTGAAAATCTGCGAGAACAAGATGTTTTTTTTTGTCTTTACAGATAGGTGTGGATGCGACAGAAACTCCATCACACTTTTAAATGTGCATGAATGCGTTTATGAAACGTGTTCGGATGCACATTGCACTGCAGCAAAAAGAGTTTCAATTTTAGAGCTCATTCTTAGGTTCTGAATCGTGTAGGAAATCCTTTCTAGGTTTCGTAGTGCACACGGAACCTGCTTTAAACTTGGCATCACACCATTTTTTCAATGTGTAGGCGCGTCAGATGCTTCATTTTAGCCGCTTTTAAACGCGTTTAGATGTGGAAAATTTTCACATCAGTTGTATGTGTTAGTGATATCGGAATATCTCTGATCAGTTCCAACTCCATCCATGACTCTACTATTAGGGAAGATTATTTGCGATATCTTCACTGTTGAATGAAAACGCCATCAATGATGATGATAGATCCATTGTGGTTCTTAGATTTCCAACAGTCACAATGAGCTTTTTTTATGAAAAGTCGCACAAGTACAGCTCTATATAGTGTTTTATTCAGAAGAGAAAACGAAGTCCTTTATCTTTCAAATAACATTAAGTATGCGTGCATCAACCACATCGATGAATTGTGTAGTTTAAGGCACCATTCGCAATCGTCTCAGCAGCGTTGCATGCTAGCTCATAGCAACACAGAGCCGAAGGACTAAGCTGATTATCGCCGCATACGCCGCCCTTGAGAAGGCATACTGGATTATCTGGGTCACCAGGATAGTGCTATGGCAAACAGTAAAAACAAACATCAGCAAACAAAATAAGAAAATATAGTTACTCCGAATTCATTAGTTTGCGTCTCTTTCTCGAAAATGGACATGTCCAAAGGCCATCGTTCTCCAGCCCACATAGCCCATATGCTGTGATCTTCATATTCATATCCCGTGTTAGGGTGCACGAGCATAGATAGATTTCCTGAATATTTTGATTGAAAGATTTCCAAAATTATAAGACCAATGAGTTACCTCTGTTTTGTAGAAGCCAGGGAATGACGACCGGATAATATCCAAGCGGAAGGAATATAGACCATTCGCCACTGACGAAAGGTCCCCCAATTAAAGTTGTATTTTCTAAGAAAAAATAATGGAAAAATACAATAATGTGTGAAAACATCATACAAAAGTTCTGTAGCTACCGATAGTATGATCGACGATCATGCATAAATATCCATAATCGTATCTCCCCGGACAATCCGGGCCAAGATAATCTTGAAATTGCTCACGTGTGAGTTTATGAAGTTCCAATGCTTCCTTCACGACCTAAAATAGCAATACAAAAAAAAACTGTGATGAGATTCAAGATGTAGGAAATATACCGGCGGATTGAAAAGAGTATACGTGATGTGTATATGATAACTAATGATAGGAGGAAGAGGAGACGGAAGGATACCTGCATGATGACTTTTCTGTCGCTTCATGGCAACATGTGGATAGATCGTAGGATGAGCAACAAGGCAAGTGCATGCGAATGCGACAAGCAGTATGAAAGTGTGGATCGCGACCGCCATCGTAGTGCAAGAAGAAGATTGTTGTAATCAAAAATTGAAAAAAACGCTCAAATACATAATAATGCTTCTTTCAATGGTTAGGCAATCCTTATAGAAAAAAGAAAGCCAGAGAAGAAAATGATCTCACTCTCTGATAGCTATTTATATAAAAGCATCACCTTTTTCATTCTTATTTTATCATTTGTAACAATGACTTAAACGAATTTTCTTATCTTATCAGTTCTGAGTTACAGTTTTCTTAGTCGATATTAAGGATCTAGAGGAGTATTACAATGCAGTGAAGAGATGTGAAAGCTGTAGATATGTTTAAAATACCCTTCGTCACGATCGAGATATTGAGTATACAGGGAGAAACATTTGATCACATTTTTCTGTAGAGATCACATGGTTTCTTTTAATTTGGTCAGCCAGTAGTTTCTATGAGTAAAGATGAATTTTGTTATACAAGAAGCATGCTGAAGATTTCTAATTCAAAAAGAAACCAGAATGTAGATGCGATATATGAGATAGAATAAAACTCACCACTTACATTCATACCCCATACCCAACATCTACACCATACCCTTAGCAGATTGATATGAATAGGTCATATTTATTTCACTAGAATGCAATCGTTCTAATTCTTGTGGCCGAATTGTATTGAAAAAGTGTTTATTTGTGCTCTTACTTTTGTGAAAAACAAACAAATCAAATCCTTTGTTTTACAAAAAAACATTAAACAGAGCCCTTATTAAAAAAAATGCTCTTACCCAATTAATTTTGTTCAAGAATCTTTTACGTTATTTTAAAATTTAGGCATTCCACCATTATACCTCGTTTATAAAAAAGTATACTCCATGTAAATCCTATTTGATATCGTGCATATCTCATTTGAAATTTAGGATATGATATCCATGACTCACACCCATTCTTCGTACTGAACGTCCTACACTGATTTGTAAAGCAAATTGATCACTGAATGGCTCAGCATCATTGTCTCTTCTCTTCATCAAGCAGTCTCAGGTGCACGAAAGAAGGTACTGCTATCCAGAGAACAATTCAATGAGAATTCGATTGTGACTACGGCTGTAGTTGGAGATGTAGACAAGAGTTATTAGCGTATGAATGTATGTGAATGCCTGTGTAGTGTACATTACGCGCATGATGGAACCCTGCGTCCGGGTTGGGTGTTCCGATGTGGACTTGTGGTATTGGATGTGTTAAGCAGAGCTAGGAAGAGCACTTTTGATAAAACTCAAGTATTTTTATTATAGTTCCGATGCCACTTGAAGTAAGTACATGCCCAATAAGTTCATTTATTTTTCTCCTTAAAGGATACAAAATGCCCATATACACATTTCTGATATGGAGTTCATGCGATGAAAAACTGTGTTCAGATGAACCAAGTACTTGTACTTGTTGGCACCTGTTATTTTAAGCAGTATTTGCAATTTTTCTGATGTTTGTCAAAAGATTAAAAGAATTGGTGCAGGTCATTTTGTACAATAGAAGACGACAAGTAAAATAACCTTATTGGGTTAGGGTTTCATACAAGAGCTAAAATAAGGGTCTTTCAATTGGAAGCAGTCATAGTCACAGTCACAATGACCCTCACATGGGTAGCCATATATACATCCTCTTCGTCGAGCTCGTTTTTGATTGACAATCAACACAGTTAATGAATGATTTGATCTGTAAGACTCAAATAAATCTTTTCTTTAATATATTAGGATTCTACTGAAGACAGCTTATTTATTCCCAATCGTGATCTAACAGTATTGGGATATAGTTGCAGCAAATATAGTTTCTGCAAGAATGTCGAATGATGTTTTCATTTCGTATGCACTTTAAAGCAGTTAGAAACAACTAATTCTTTTCAGAATATCAAAATCGTGTTTTATTAAGTAAAGACTGATGAAGATCAATGTTGTATATATTCAGATGTGCAATGTGGCTGCAATATACTGGCTAGTTGAATTAAGTCCGGTTTGTCTTCGTGGATGATTATCAAGTTCATGCGTAATTCAAGTTATCTGAGGCAAGTACACCTTGAAGATCAATATGAGATCATCAAGTACTCCGCTGAAGCATAATTCAATTCACATTTGAGTGAACAGTATTCGGTAACCAACATAGATGATGGTTGAAATGCTGACAGCGTGAGAGAACTTTTGAGACTAATGAAATTAAGTAAGAGATAACAGTTTGAAGAATGTCTTTGATCAACGAAACTCATAGAATTTGTCATTTACAGACTGAAAATTGATCTTCGGAAGGTAGTAGATCATCGAATTGAAAAATTCATTTTCCAGAAAAGATCTGCAAAACGATGACCAATGGTTCCATTGTTAATTAGTAGGCTTGATTTGCTGAATGACAGATTGAGAATATACTGGAGAGTAGAAAAATGGCAAAAAATAATGTCAGATTGAGGAAAATTTTAAACAATAACATCCGACCGTCGCCGTTTGATAAAGTCACGACTATTGATGCTCATTGGTGTCAAATCAATGAAAAAAAAATTGAATATGATAGTTCTCCACTTCGCTACTTTTCCAAGTTTCATTCTCTTCGCGTGCAGTTAGTGTTGCGCATCGTTAAAGCAATGCCAACAGGTGCTTGACGGTGACGTGAAATACGAAACATTCGTTTTACCTTGTCTTGCAAATTTGGTAACGAGTTTAAACAGATAAAAGGTAAAAGAAATATAAGCCAATAACTTAGAAAGAAGAAATAGGGCATCAGAATAGAACCTACGCCGAATGGTAAACCACACAGTTGAATAAAAGCTCCTACATTCAGTGGTAGATTAAAGACGAGAAATATTGATGAAATTGACAATAATTGTGTTGTCAATTTGCGATGCCGACGCCATTGCATTACCTGATGACGACGACGCTTTTCTATTAAGAAACGAACTAGTAAACCAACACTAAAGACAGCAATGATCAAAGTAGTGAAGCAGCCATGAACACCGGCTTCCCATCCATTGAGTACTGGGCGACTAAAATAACAAGGTGCGGCACTGCACACTGGTAATGTATAGTCAAATGTATGTTCACAAGGCGGAAAGAAAATCACCCACGTGTAAAAGATAATCATATAAGCAATAATTGTGGTTAATGGAAGATAATGGACAAGGAAGCGTTTCTTTCGAGTAGATAACCATTGATCATGAAATACAAAAATGTGTCGCTCAATTGAAGTCCATGCAGCTAGTAGACAACAGGTATAATAGAAACCAAGATCGACCAACCACCAAATGAGACAAACAGCTGATATTTGTGGCGATACTTTTCCCATCACAATAAAGTTCAGATAGAATGAAACATCAATTACTTGAAACATTAATGCGAAGATATTCATAGCAATAATACTGTGGTGATGCAAGGAATTTCTTAGATATCGATCCATAATAAAATAGCGTAGAATGAACAGAGAGCAAGTCAAGGAAGGTATTTCAAAGACAAGCAGAAGCCAAAATCGAACAGAACGAGGTAAAGGAATTTCACCATCATATGCTATGAATGTGTCTTCATCGCTAGTATTGTCCGTCATATTGGAATAGTATTTACTATGTAGTGTATGTTCTTTTTCAAAATCAATCACTTCTACACCACAAGGCTGTAAAATATTAGTTCAAAATTCGGTATTCTACAAATATAAAACGAATTCAAATGACAACAGATAGCTTAAGAGAATATAGGTATGAATGTGGGTGAAATCAATGCCGAATTTCATACTCACATTCAAACCTGCTAGAAACATTTCGATCACTTTCTGATGTTAACTACGCTTTCCGATTGCCATCCGAAAACATTCAAAAAAAATTATGATGTAGAAACGGGTCCTTATCATACTATTTGAAATATTTGAAACTTGTTGCAACACATACTCGTAGTCGTTTTTATGCATACTTACTGTAAACGTTTCTGATTCACAATCGGGAACCGCGATTAGCATGTTTAAATGACTAGATTTTTTCTGCATTTACAGGTGACTTTATTCTTTCTTTGCTTCAACCCCTTTTCCTCTCTGTTTTTCCCCTGAATTTTAGCTCATGTAAGACATTTCTGTAATTATGAACAATTGATATGGAGATCGATGGTCTGTCTCTTCACCCATTAACTTACGTACGAACCCGTCTAGCTATCTGCCTGACTAACTAATTATCTATTTAACTAAGTAGCTACCTACCTAACTATCTATTTAGAGGTCTAAATCAGGAATGACGGTTTCAGATTTCAGTGCTCCTAGTAAATTTTCAAGTGTATTCTAATGGTTATTAGAAAACTTAGAGTCTCTTCTATTAATCGATACAAGACTGACATCACTAACTGTATTCATTCAAAAAGTATACAAGTCTCACTAGATATCTTACATTTTAGTTTTTTCAAAAGTTGGAGGTGTGAAAAATC